TCCTTCATGTACCACCTCTCCGCGGTGATGGGGATCAACGACCATTTATGGCGGCAACGTCATAAATGGCGGCTAACGGTACACCGGTCACGCAGTTCGCCTTGCTTTATGCTAATAGAATGGGCGGTCCTCCTAGCCCTGGCAAGGCAACGAGGATAACCAGACCACAAAAAAAAGCTAAAACACGTTCAACAAGACGGCCCCAGTCCTCCGCCCGTCGGTCACGCGCCTCTCCGGTATCGGGGGCTGCCTCTGCCGACGAGGGGCGATCAAATCTCGGAGCAACAGGATACCATAGAAACGGACTACGGACGCGCCACGGTGACTGTCTACGTTTCGGAACCCTCAACTGCCGCTCGCTCGCTTCCGATGCAGCAAAAGAGCAATTGCTCGCGGCAAACCGAAACGCACTCATCGACATAGTGGCGCTCCAGGAAACAAAAATCTCAAGACACCAGCTGTAAGACTTGGCCAAACGGTGAACTTCTCATCCTCGGCCACAAAGTCCCTGGGAAGAACGTCGGCGGCGTCGGTTTCCTCGTCAATCGCTCGGTCCAACACCTCGTCGACTCGCACGAAATCGTCAACGCCCGCCTCGGCATCCTCCGACTCAACCTAGGAAAACGAGGAAGACTCACCATCATCAACGTCTACTCGCCGACCTCACCAGAAGCCGAATCTAAGGCTAAAAGGGAAGAGAAGGAAAAGGAACTTGACGATTTCTACCGGAAGCTCGAGGAAACGATCCAACGAGAGAAGGCGTACTACATCTTCGTTCTGGGTGACTTCAACGCGAAGATGGGCAAGTGCGCCACTCCCTCGATTCGTCACGGGAAGCACGGACTCGGAATTCGGAACGACAACGGAGAACGCCTAGCCGAACTTCTCGACTCCAGAAGGCTCTACCACGGCAATTCTCTCTTCGAGAAGCCTGAGCGGAGACGCTGGACCTGGAAATCGCCCAACGGAGACACCACCAACGAGATCGACCACATTCTGGCCAACCGGAAATGGTCTCTCCTCGACGTTGCCGTACTACCCAGTTTCGACGTTGGATCCGACCATCGACTCGTTCGCGCCAAGGTCCGTCTGAACCAGAAGTTCCTGAAGAAAGACTACCACCAGCCATCGAGACCGAGAAGACCAACCTACGACATCACCACGTTGGAGGAGAAGATCTCGGAGCACGACTGGCAGCTTCTCGACGACCCGACAGCCGACTACGAATCCCTCTGCGATGGCCTCATCAGATGTGCAGAACCTGCAGCTCGACCAACCTCGTCTCTACCGCCGCGACTCGACCAACGAGCGAAAGATCTGCTGCGAAGAAGAGGAGAAGTCAAACGAGACCCGCAGGCCACGCACCTAGAACGTCTGACGATCGACAAAGCCTGCAGAATGGCCGTGCAAGAGTCTCTAGCCAACCGACGCAGGAGTGCACTTCTTCAGACAGCTGAGAAACGTCAAAGCCTCAAGAAGAAGAAGTTCGAGCTCGTCGACGAGCGAACGGTGATGACAGCACTGAAGGACGAGAACGGCCAGCTGAAGACGTCAAGGAACGAGATGGAGCGCCTGACGGTCGACTTCTACACGGAACTCTTTCGAAGCGACGTTCCCGTCCCCAGAACACCAACGCCGCCACCAGAAGATGAACCCCCGATCCTTCCCGAAGAAGTCAAGTACGCCATCAGGAAGCTGAAGGTCGGAACGGCCGCAGGACCCGACAACATCTCATCCGAACTGCTGAAGGCTGGAGGAGACTCGCTGTACCGACTACTTGCCCGGCACTTCTCCAAGTACCTGAGCGAAGCCTCTATTCCTGAACAATGGAAAACATCCAAGACGATCCTCATTCCGAAGAAGGGCGACCTCACCGACCTGAACAACTTCAGACCGATCTCCCTCTTATCGGTCGTCTACAAGTTGTTCACCAAGGTCATCGTCAACAGACTAGAGAAGCAACTCGACAACTTCCAACCGCCCTCGCAGGCTGGCTTCCGACGCAACTACTCTTGCCTCGACCACATCCACGCCTTAACACAGGTGGTGGAACGGCACCGGGAGCACCAGATGCCACTTGCGTTGGCCTTCGTCGACTACTACAAGGCCTTCGACAGCGTGGAGATCAACGCCGTCTTGAATGCTCTTGCCTCCGCCGGAGTCGCCACGAAGTACGTCGAGCTGATCGCCAACAGCAACGAGGGAACGTCCACGACCATCCAGCTGTTCGACAAGAAGCTTTCGATCCCCATCAGGAAAGGTGTTCGCCAGGGAGATACCATCTCCCCCAAGTTGTTCTCCACGGCACTAGAAGACGCGATGCGCCAACTTGGATGGGACGAAGAGCACGACTGGGAAGACAGTACAGACATCAGAGGCATCAACATCGACGGCAAGGTCCTCACAAACCTCCGCTTCGCCGACGACATCGTACTCTTCTCAAGCTCCACCACCGAACTGTCCTCCATGCTGAACGATCTGGACGAAGTCGGCAAGAAGATCGGCCTTAAGATGAACGTCAAGAAGACGCAGTGGATGAAGAACCGCTTCTGCGACCAAGGCAAAGTCACCCTTTGAGGGCCGCGACCTTCAGGAGGTCACATCCTACATCTACCTTGGCCGGGAAGTAAACATGGTGAACGACCTGCAAGCAGAGATCGGCAGACGCAAACGCGCTGGATGGGCCGCCTTCAACTCCATCAAAGAAGTCACCAGTCAGCTGAAAGACCCGAAACTGCGAGCTCACATCTTCGAAGCGTCGATAATCCCTGCCATCTCCTACGGTACCGAAGTTTGGCCTGACACGAAGAAAAAAAATGCAACCGCCCTACGAACTTCCTACCGCGCACTGGAACGTGCTCTCATCGGCACCACTCGCTTCGAGCAGTGGAAAAAAGAACAGAGGAGCACAGACCTCCGTCAACTATCCCAAATCCGGGATCTAGAAGAGCACATACAACGCGGGAAACATCGCTGGGGCGGCCACGTCATCCGCAGACAAGACGACCGCTGGTCCACGAGATTAACACACTGGATTCCGAGAAACATCAAGCGCCCACTCGGGCGCCCACCGACCAGATGGACGGACTACTTCCGCAAGAACATCAGTCAGCCAGGCCGCCACTGGATGACCGTCGCGCAAGACCGAGCCGCCTGGAGAACGTGTGGTCCACGCTGAGAACATCAGCGAAGATGGACCATCAAAGTATCAAAGTAAGTAAGTAAGTAAATAACTGTACCGCAGTTGTGACCTACTCACTTGAACTTTAACGACTCGATCTGCGAGTCGAGTTCCTTCATCCGCTTTTCGTTCTCTTGCACCCTTTTCCTATCTTCATCCATCTGAAACACTTTTCCTCAAATAGAAAACGAGAAGCTCAGTTCGCGCCTTATTCTCCTGTTTCGTGAGCCAATTGATTACATAGCTTTTGACCGCGGAGATTGTGAGAGTGTTGCTTTTGGACAGAACGTCGAGAACGACCAAAGGATGGACCGCTTGACACTTTTCCAGGCTGAAAGACTAAACTTTGAATGAACAATAACTTGGCAACTGACGCATCCAGAAGAATCAAAACGAGGGCTTCGTCTTCCACTTGCTCCGATTTCGCGACAAAGGAAAGTGCGTCGATCCAAGTTTGAGGCTTGCTGAAACCTCAAGGATTCGAAAAAGTCGGCTAGCGGGCTCACTTGATTTCTTGGCAAAGGGCGGTGATTGCCTTGAGATTGTTGTTTTTCATGTAGTAGGTCAAAAGTTCTTTGTTTCTGAATGTCTGTTGACATGGATAAACAAGCCTGGAAGAGACCTGTGGGAAGATTTGAGGACAAACTCGATGACGGGCTGGCAGTCAAAGGTCTGGGCGAGGTTCAAGGCGTGTTGTTCGTTGCTTTTCGAGATCAGCGGCATTATCAGTTCATCGGCTCGTTTCGCCAGCTGCACCCAACGATTTTCGCTGATAAGTCGGACTCACTTGTTTATCGTTGGAACAGGCGCGCAGACGAATCTCTAGCAGCATATTCACGAGTTCTTCCTTGACTTGTCCGGTCGACTGAAATCTTTCATCAAATGGGCTCATTTGAGAAGGGGAAACTTTTTGAACTGCGTATTCGATGAAAGCTTCTCCGCTATCCGAGTCGCCGATGAAAATGTCAACAAGTCGTTTGATATCCAGCTTGTCTGTAAATTTGAGAATTTCTTTTCAAACTGAAAACGTACAAAATGTTGAAAAAAAAAAGTCCAACGCAAAAATTTCACCTTCCGAAGAGCGAGCGATGCAGTCCAACAAAAGACTCATCGTCTCGTCTCGACATTTTTCGAGAAGAATCCGGCCATACTTTTCCAGATGTCGGATAGCCTGGAGAAAGGGAACAAATGGAAACTCTTCAGCTTCACACCTCTTCCGTAGGTCTTTTGGCAATGAGCTTGACGGCCATCGAGTAGCGATGCATGTGGTCGATGATCGTGGCGAGCGCCTCGTCGTGCATTCCGAGTTTCGTCGCCAAAAGACTCGCCTCCGGCAAGAACTTGCATTCGCACAAAATCTGCTCATCGGCAAAAGTGAGCAAAAGTCGGAAATTTTCCGGTTAATATACATTGAAGATGGGCCGCATGTCGAACTGCTTTCGCGACGCGGTCAGCCTTTCGATAAACTCAATCATTTTCTTCTTTTGGCCTTGGCGCGCGTATGCGTTGAGCAAAATACTCGTGTGGTGGCTGTTCTCACGTCCTGCGTCGTGCAGACATTCCAGGTAAACGCAGAGTTGGGCGATTTTGGCGCCGTCCAAGTACTGTAAAGTAGAGTTCTCAAAACCAAACGTTCGACCAAACATTTTCCGAACAAATGTTGAAACCAAACTTTTGGGGCCTACTATCTTTTGAACCGTGATCTTTGCGAACCGAAGTGAACCGAATGATCTTTGTGAACCGTGATCTTTGTGAACCGAAGGAGTATCAAGTGAACCCCAAAAAGTGATCTTTCGAACCCAAGTATCCTTTTTTTCGTTCAAGTTTTTTAATTTGTAAAAACTTGTTTACAAAATGAAAAAAATGTAGTTCTTCTCCAAATAGGCGTTTTTTTCCACAAAAACCACGACCCTTTCAGACCTTTCAACGACTTTAGATGCATGTTGGTTCTCCGTTTTTTCGTAAAAGGAATTTGCGAACGGCTCATTAGGAAAAAAATCCACCGGTTTGTTTTTTTGTTTCTTCAAATAAGATATTCTCCTACCAATTTTTTTGTTGTAGTTCTGGAGAAGAGCCTCTGGAAGTTTTGTAATGAGAATAATAAATTTTTAGTACTAATTGGAAAAAAATTTTTCAAGGGTCGAAACACCTCCCGATCGACAAATTTTAGAGAAAGATTTTTTGCAAAATGCAGTTTTTCACGTCCGATAATTCTTTGAATTATGATATTCCGAAGCGATGCTTAGGCGAACCAATGCCGAGACGAACCACTTCTTGCTTACCAGAACCGAACGTTTTAATGCTCCGCTGAACCAATTTTTCGGCATTTTTTTGTATATGTTCATAATAATCGGTCTGTGTTTCTCGAATCCTGGGAGGCCGAGGTTACGATGTTCTAGCGGTCGATGCTTTTTCTTATCCGTTTGTATACTTTTCCTACCTAAACTTTGTATGCTTTTTTTCGATCCGTTCTTTGATTGATTTATCAGAGGGCACCTTTCTTTCTATCTGCTCAATTTAAGCCGGTTCCAAATAATTTTTTTCTCGCCCATAACCGGCTTTCAGCTCTGTCCTTGACTACTAAGAGAACTATGTTAAGATCAATTTTTTTATTTTTCTTTCTTTCTGATCTTTTTTTCTTTGGAATCGATTCAGAGGAGAGAGGACGTCGGCAAATTTGTAGTCGAAGAAGTTGAAGTTGAAAGAGTTGTCTGACGAGCTCACATTATGATGAATTTTGAAACTGCGCGGAGATCCGTGTTTAAAGTGATTCCGCGAAATCAAAAATGGCTGTCAGAGAAAAAAAAAGAAAATCAAATTTTGGAGAGTCAGACACCTCTTTGCATTTCGCGGAAATTACTTTGAACATGGCTTGAAAAACTGACGTACAAAGAGGTTAAAATTTCTAAAAACAGATCAGAAATAGCTGTATTAAGCAGTTTGAAATGTTTTCAAAGACCCTGGAAGCTCTCTAAAAAACTCTTTTCGTGAGAATGAGTGAAAAGCAGTGCCATAAATGCCACTAACTTAAAAAAAATTCCAAAAAGAAAAAAAAAATTTTGGCCGTAAAGCCGCATTCAAAGTAATTCTGGAAAATGATTTCTGACTCTCTAAAATTTTCGTTTTTTTTCTCTTTTTGACGGTCATCTCGCTGGAATCATTTTGAAAACGGAATAAAGACACAACACCCATTTTTCACAATGATTATTCGAACTTTGAGAACTTGATTGACATGAAAAATTAATTTCAAACAGTTAAATGAAAAAAATAAGTTTAACTTTTTGGGCCTTTTTCTGGAACAAGTGAAAAAAACTTCAAAGCAAACGTTAAAAATTCAATTGTTCTCATTCTATGGACATCAGTGGTTAGTTAATCTAAAATAAAATGATAAAAATACAAATTTAACTTGCCCAAATTTTTAGGCCAGATATAAAAAATTGCGCTTTAGTGACAATAATTTTTAGGTAATTTCACAATAGAAAAAAATAACCCATAATGAGAAACAGAGTGAAAATGAGAAAAAGCACAGAAAAAAACACACGACAAACTTATGCCGTGTTCAAAGTAATTTCCGCGAAATGCAAAATACCCGTTAGAGAAAGGAAAAGATCACTAAATTTTTGGAGAGTCAGAGATCATTTTGCATTTCGCGGAAATTACTTTGAACACGGCATTAGTTAGACGCCATTATAGATAGCACTCCCAAAAGTCTCCTCTTGGCGCATTCCGCGTGCGTGCGCGCGCAATTCAAATTTCGTCTCTTGGACTAGATTTACAGGCTTCCAGTATATGGTTCTATGCCGTGTTCAATTTGATTCCGCGAAATGCAAAATACCCGTTAGAGAAAGGAAAAAGATCACTAAATTTTTGGAGAGTCAGAGATCATTTTGCATTTCGCGGAAATTACTTTGAACACGGCACTAGAAAGAATTCTTTTTGTATAATTTTTTTCTTACTTATTCATTTCCAGTTTTTCTTTTTATTTAATATTGACTCATTTAGGGAATCTAACTTTATTTAAGAAAGTTTTTTTCTTGTTTTAGCGCAAATTCAAATTTTTCGCCTTCACTCAATTGCACAGGCAAATGGGGAAGGTACCATAATGTGCCCACAAATATACCTCTTAAAATGAATCTTGAATATTCCATAACGTGTCCATCATGAGACGTCGAGCATAAATTTTAGCTCTAGCTGCCCAGGGAATGGTCTCTGGTCGTAGTTGGATTTCAGAATGAGACCCAGTTCACTAAATGAAGTTTTTCATGCTATTTCCAAATCTGTTCTCAAAAAATGCCGCGCAGGTCCGTGAAAAAAGTTTTTTTTTGGAAAAGTTTTTGAGCGGAGACACGATTTTTCAAAGCTCCTCGCATGATAAGGAAATGTGCTGCTGAAAATTCATTTTTCGTTTCTCATGAGCGAATGGAGAACAACGTGTACAGCTTATACAAATTTCAAAGGAAGTCTGAAAACAGAATGAATAAAAATTAGAAAACCGAAGTGACTAAAAATAATAATAATAAAAACCTGGGAAGCATTTCCAGGCTACTCGGTAGCAATCAAAAATTTCAGGTACTCTGCCCGTATATCCAGTTATCATAGATATGATACCCGGGTAAAATTAATTGGAAGTTTTTTTAATGCAAGAAAAATTATACAAAAAGAACCATATACTGGAAGCCTGTAAATCTAGTTCAAGAGACAAAATTTGAATTGGCGCGCGCACGCACGCGGAATGCGCCAAGAGGAGACTTTTGGGAGTGCTATCTATAATGGCGTCTGCATTAGTTTTGGCTATGGAAAAACGAAAATTTCGAAGGCTGGCAATTATATACCCAAGTGTAAGGGAAAATAGGGTCCCAAAGCGATGAGATAGCGCGCCAAAACCTTGGCGCTTGCTCGAATTACGTTTTTCGTTTTGTTTTTGTTTTCATTTTTCCTTTTTCAATTCTTGTGTTCTCTGTATAGTTAAATTACTTATAGAAAATTCTTATTATGAGTATTCTTATATACTCTATGATTTTTTTGTTACATTTATTCGCAGATTTTACACTTTGACGAGTAAAAATTTTAGGCCCAAAAAAATTTAAAATCGATTTTTTTGCCAATCGAAACGTTTTATTTAACTTTTTTTATGAAGTCTATCAAATTCCATGAACGTTGATTATCATTTCTGAATATATAATTATTTATTAATAACGACTGAAGTTTTTAATTTGAAAATTTTTCTTTACACTCGCGGAGCCTTGCTCAAACGATTATAGCCTATTCCGCGCCAGCTTGTCACGGTTTTCTTCCTGTTAAAAAAGACCGTATACCAAATTAGATCAAATTTCTGCTTTTATAACGGCAAGAAACAAAGGTCTTGAAGCGAAAGTTGGTCAAATTTGACCTGGCCTTTTGGCGGAAAGAAAAACGTGACAAGCTGGCGCGGAATGGCCTATATCGCCCGCGTTAATTGCAAAACATGTTCCAAAATTGACTTGTGGAATTAATAGAGAAACAGTTCAAAGTCTCACAAAACAAAAAAATCTTGGCAATAGATTTAAAAAAATTTCAGCCAAATCAAAAAAACCTGAGATTGAATTAGAAATTATAAGTTTTGGGCTCTAAAAATAGAGCACGATCTCCGCGCAGTTTCAAAATTCATCATAATGTGAGCTCGTCAGACAACTCTTTCAACTTCAACTTCTTCGACTACAAATTTGCCGACGTCCTCTCTCCTCTGAATCGATTCCAAAGAAAAAAGATCAGAAAGAAAGAAAATAAAAAAATTGATCTTAACATAGTTCTCTTAGTAGTCAAGGACAGAGCTGAAAGCCGGTTATGGGCGAGAAAAATTATTTGGAACCGGCTTAAATTGAGCAGATAGAAAGAAAGGTGCCCTCTGATAAATCAATCAAAGAACGGATCGAAAAAGCATACAAAGTTTAGGTAGGAAAAGTATACAAACGGATAAGAAAAGCATCGACCGCTAGAACATCGTAACCTCGGCCTCCCAGGATTCGAGAAACACAGACCGATTATTATGAACATATACAAAAAATGCCGAAAATTGGTTCAGCGGAGCATTAAAACGTTCGGTTCTGGTAAGCAAGAAGTGGTTCGTCTCGGCATTGGTTCGCCTAAGCATCGCTTCGGAATATCATAATTCAAAGAATTATCGGACGTGAAAACTGCATTTTGCAAAAAAAAAAATCTTTCTCTAAAATTTGTCGATCGGGAGGTGTTTCGACCCTTGAAAATTTTTCCAATTAGTACTAAAATTTATTATTCTCATTACAAAACTTCCAGAGGCTCTTCTCCAGAACTACAACAAAAAAATTGGTAGGAGAATATCTTATTTGAAGAAACAAAAACAAACCGGTGGATTTTTCCTAATGAGCCGTTCGCAAATTCCTTTACGAAAAACGGAGAACCAACATGCATCTAAAGTCGTTGAAAGGTCTGAAAGGGTCGTGGTTTTGTGGAAAAACGCCTATTTGGAGAAGAACTACATTTTTTTCATTTTGTAAACAAGTTTTTACAACTTAAAAAAACTTGAACGAAAAAAGGATACTTGGGTTCGAAAGATCACTTTTTGGGGTTCACTTGATACTCCTTCGGTTCACAAAGATCACGGTTCACAAAGATCATTCGGTTCACTTCG